ACATTTTATAAAGATAATAATTAAGTATTCTGTTAGAACTTAATGATTATTCTAATTATATTTTAGATTTTTTATATTTAAAATGAGATGTTTATCATGTATTTGATTGTGTTTATCTGCAGTTAGTTACACGAATTCAGATATGGGATGAACGGATTTAAGAGTTTTTAAGAGTTTTTGCCAAATGCTTTATAAGATAGTATATATATATATATATATATATATATATATATATTAATAGTTTAATATATTAAGTTATTATTAATTGTTTAAATAAAGTTTTTTTTTAAAAATGTATTTTAATAATAAAATTATAGAATATTTTAATAGTTTAGTTGATATTGAAATTATCTAAAATAAAGAAACTCTTGAAGTTAAATATAATATTTTCTTTTGGTTTTTAATTTTTAATTTTACAAAATTTATAAAAAATCTATTGAAGAACTTAAACATCAGGGCGCATTTGTTATGCAGACAGGATATGACAAAACATAATAGAATAAGATAAAACATGACAACTGTTCAGTATTTGGTAAGATAGAACTTTGAGCTGCCAAACCTAAGGTCAGCCCACCTATCGAACATGATAAATTGAGCCAGTCAAATCTGGCTAGTAAAAAAGAAAGCTGGACAAAACAGAACAAGTAAAATGATCAGTTCATCCTTAACAAGTTGTTTATATATTTTAATAAATTTATATAATTTATTAAATTATAATAAAATAATTATTTTTTATAATAAAATATGTCATTCAAAAATTTCATCAAAACAATTAAAATAACATCAAAATAAAAGATTTATGTAATTTCCAGTTTTTTATTTTTATTATTTTTTCTACATTAATTATTATAATAAATTATATAAATTAATAAAAATATAAAAACTATATAAAAATAAAATTTTAAATATAATAAAATAAAATTTTAAAGAGTATAAAAGAAAATAAACAAAATTATACAAAAATGCGGTGAAACGTGAAATAGGGAAACAAGGAGACGTATAAATCCTCTTCTTTATACGTGGATTTAGGAAATTCAAAATGACATGCGTGGATTTAGGAAATTCCCATAAACCCTTTGAGTCTCCTCTCGTACCCTTTTCAATTTTAGTAATCAAGTAGGAAGAATCTCCCCAAATCATCAAATGCGACAATGTAGGATTCGGTATCTACAACTTCTCCCATAATTCTTTCTGCAATGCAATGTCAAGTTCATCAAATTTTAAATTCCTTGTAAGTTCGAATGCCGTGGAGTCTCATCAATGGCGGCCAACATTAGAGCACAACTGATTTTGGAGCAATCAAGTAAACGACAGAGGCTCAATCATTTTCCAAAGCTTCTTCCTAACGAACAAGTCGAAGTAATATTTGCCTTACTCCAAACTATTTCTGTCTGTACTTTTTTTTTTCTTCATCTGTTTATTTGCGTGACCATTGATCATGATGCATGGAGATTTTGCGGTTTTTTGGGTTGCCAAGATTGTGTTCTTTGCTTGGTTTTGTTTGCATTTGTTTGATCATTTAATGGTTAATATGATGATGAATTTTGGGGTTGGGGGTTTACAGTGGAAGTTTACCTAATTTGATTGTTAGGGTAAACATTTCTTTCCAATTACCGGCTTCATTTATGACAATTTTGTGATTTTCTGTTTGATTCATTCATGAATTATAGTTCAATTTATTGGGGCTCTTGATTTTGCTCTATGATCCCATGCAATACGATTTGTTAGGGTAATGGGTGCTTATTGTGATTCATACTCCATCTTTGGAAGCAAAAACATATATGCTAAGTAATGAAAATTATTTTAGGTACGAAGTGTTGAAGAGGGATTCCAAGGTTCTTGGCATAGTGGCATCGTGATAGAAGCTAGAACTCAGTTTCGTATGGTCAAATATGATCATCTCTTATGTGACGACAGTTCAAGTAACCTTATCGAGTCCATCCCAGTTCTATTTGCAGTTGATGGCAAAATTCCAGCTGGTTGGCGTTCATCCGATTTCCCTAATTATCGTGGCAAGATAAGGCCGGTTCCCCCTCGGTTTATCCATGATGAAAGTTGCCTCCATTATGGACAGTGTGTAGATGTGTTTTATAAAGATGCATGGTGGGAAGGTGTCATTTTTGACCATTTTGATGGTTCAGATGAACGATTAGTGTTCTTTCCTGATATGGGTGATGAACTGAAGACCCCATTTGAGTATCTAAGGCTTACTCAAGATTGGGATGCAGGTAGCGATGAATGGATGCTTCGAAGGGACTGGATCTTTCTTGAGGTTATCGAGGAATTAAAGCAAGAATGGCCGTTTCTTGTTTCAGTGAAACAGATTTGGTATGAAGTGAGGATGACAAAGTGTTTTGTTGAAGAAATGAAAGAATGGATGTGCCCTGTGAAGCAAAGATGGAAAGAAACTGTTAAGGAGGTAATGGTGGATAACTTTAAGTTGACAATGGTGGAGTTCTTTCATAGATTTAACTTTTCTGAGGATTTGCATGAAGACCGTCCATTTTTGGATATAAAGAAACGTATTCTTGATTCCATTATAAATCTTGAACCATCCTTTTTTGAATCTCTTGTCGTTGAAGAGGAATTTGCAACTTTACGCTCAAATCCAGACCCACATTTGGTTGTTAAATCTGATTACGAGAATCTTAGCTCCCCTTCTGAAAACCCCATTTCTGAATGGAGCAAATGTGTTGACTATTGCGTTATTGGATCTGATGTATTTCCTCAAGCGGAGTGTTGTCCAGATGCAATTTTCAAATACTTTGAGTACTTCGAATCTGGTAAAAAACCTCCGGTTGATGTAACATTGAAAGTTAGGCAACATCTTTCATATATGGGTTGGAAAATCGAGTCGAAGGTGTATAGGATTGGCTCAAAAGGGGCTGCTTATTTTAGATATCGTTACACTGATCCTAATGGGAAGCAATATTATTCACTTAACGTACTTTGTACAGAGTTAAACAAACGTTCATCTGAAAGTATTACTTTGAGTTCATCTGATGTTAATGCATATCTTGAAACTCCAATATCATCTACACTGGCCAAAGAAGAACCAAAAACACTTGTGATTGAATCTGACTTCTGTCCACAGGCCGTGGTTGATTATTGTTCATTGTCATTGGAAGCAAATTCTGACTTGCGGAAGAGCAGAGATGCTAGGGTTAGAAAACTGCAAACCAGTGCAACAAAGCATCTTTTTGCTGTTGGGTGGTCAAAGTGCTATACCGAGCGTCTTTCAGGTAGGAAGGTACTTGTATACTGCTCGCCAAATGGAAGAAAGTTTTATGGTCTTCTTGAAGCCTGCAATCATTATATCAAGGAATGTTTGTGCTGTGGATTTGATAATATCCGTGAGCTTGACAAAATGGGAAAAGTCAAAGCATATGTAGACTTAATCAAGAAGAAAGATGGTCTTTTGCATATTAAAACTATATCTTCATCGCCATCAAAGAAGCAAGCGGTAAAACAAGATGAATCTTTGACAAAATCAAGAAATAGGTCAACTGGCGATTCTTTGAGGACTACCCATGTACTAAGGTCAAGCAAAAGGGCTCGGAAAGAGATTTCCCCAATGAACCAAACCCCACGAACGGTCTTATCTTGGTTGATAGACAATAACGTTGTTTTACCTAGAGCAAAAGTACAATACTATTGCAGGAAAGATGGTCGTACATTGAGAGAAGGCCGAGTAACTCGTGATGGAATAAAATGTAGTTGTTGCAAACATACGTTTAGCCTCTCCAAGTTTCAATCTCATGCTGGAAGCACTTATGGCCGACCATCGGCTAACATATTTCTAGAGGATGGTAGGTCCTTACTAGACTGCCAATGCCAATTGCAACAAAATCTTGATAAAAGTTCAAGATTGATTAGGATGAAACCTCTGCGTATAAAGGGAAACCGGCATGAAATAGAAAATGACAATGACTACATATGTTCTATCTGCCAATACGGTGGGGAATTAGTTTTATGTGACGAATGTCCATCAGCATTTCACACAACGTGCCTGGGATTAAAGGTAATATTCTTGGTATTTTTATTTCTCGTTTCTTGAACTTTAACTTATGTTTTAATACGAAAAGGGAACTTTATATTGATGTATACTTCTGATTTTGCCTGATTAGGAGGTCCCGGATGGCGAATGGTTCTGTCCATCATGCTGTTGCAGAATTTGTAATCAAAACAGATTCAACGGAAATTATGAACAAAATATGGATATGAACATTCTAAACTGTGAACAGTGTGAAAGAAGATGTATGTAGACTAAAATCTCTTCGTGGCTTTGTTAACTTAAGCTCATATATAAGCATTTTCATTATAAAGCACGAAGCTTTAGATTCTAATTAAGCTTCACACTTCAATGTAGATCATATCGGGTGCTTAAAAAGAAGAGAAGGTTTCTTGAAGATGGAGACTTATCTTGAAGCAAATTGGTTCTGTAGTTTGAGATGTGAAGAGGTATGCATCGAACTTTTGATATTATTTTCCATATGGAAGGTTTTATGGGACTTCACTGGGCTGGTCAGGGGACACTGAGGTAGGCAGGTAAAGAATTATGAAAGGTTTTAAAATTTGGCATGGGTTGTTTAGTAATTTACAAATCCTGTACATCTCCTTGATTTTTGTCCCAATCAGTCTTGTGTTGTCCCAGGCTACTGTCGCACCAAACTTGGGACAACAAGTTTGAAACTGATGCACCCTTAAAGTATGGATTTTGGAATTTTAGAGTTTGACCATAAAAGTTTGCGATAATAAATGTTGTTGGTTGTCTTTTTAATGATCCAATTGAATTATATTGCGAATAAAATTCAATATCATGCTGAGATCAAATGTGCTTGTGGGGTTTGCAGATATTTGTAGGGCTTCACAGGCTTTTGGGGAAGTCGATTCCAGTTGGGAGGGATAACTTAACATGGACCCTACTGAAATATAAGAAGTCTGAATCCACCAATTATGATGCCTCAGATATGGAGGAACTAGCAGAAAATTATAGCAAGCTGAACGTTGCTATCAGCGTGATGCATGAGTGTTTTGAACCAGTTAAAGAACCTCGCACTGGGAGAGATATAACCGAAGATGTTATTTTATGTAGATGGTGAGACAAGTTTTCTTATTCATGATCCACTTTATATATTGTTTCAAACATTATTTTTAGCCGAATTATCTTGTTGTAATGAAATAAAATTCAGCGCAGGTCCGAGCTACAGCGTTTGAACTTTAAGGGTTTTTATACAGTTCTCTTGGAGAAAGACGATGAGCTGATTTCTACGGCTGTAGTGAGGTGTATTTGCATTTCAGGGTTATTAGTATTTTCTTTAATTTCATTTATTCTTATGATGATGTAAATGTTTTGCTGTCTGATTACAAGGGTTTATGGAGAGAAAGTAGCGGAACTCCCACTTGTTGGTACAAGATTTCAGTATCGTAGACGTGGAATGTGTCATATTCTGATGCATGAGCTTGAAAAGGTATAATCATATTTCCAATATATGCATACATATACATACACAGTGGCAGGTTCAAATAAGAAGCTAAATATCGTGAGAAGGTAAGAAGGGAAGGTTCATATGTGAATCATTAAACAAATCCATTTGAAGATGCATATGTGAACCCTCATGAAAAATTTGTAACGCCGGTTCACATGTGTATCTTTCAATAAAATTTTATTGGATTTTTTCAATTATTCACATGTGAATCTTCTATTAACCTTCTCTTCTTACTTTCTCACGATATTTAGCCTTCTTATTTGAAGCATCGCCTACATATACATATACATAGGGGCAGGTTCAAGAGAAAACCATAAAATTTTTGAGAACCTAGGAACCAACCATCCATGATGAATATCATGACGGGCATTCACGATGAATAATGAAAATGCATGATATTCAGTATGATGTATGTGTGTATGTAAATATGAGTGTTGATATTTATTTATGCATACATGGGATCCCCTCCATACATAATGTATCCTGCATAGTTAACCGGTGAAAGCAAAGCATGTCGGATACTTCATCCTGCATATCTATCATCACATCCCCGTCTCATAAAAATTGCTACTTTTTTTATAGAACTTCCTAATTCAAATTGCCAACTTGCCTATCATCATAATTTCAGATAAATTAGTGTCCACGGGGTACTTCTCTTTGTCTTTGCTAAAGGGTATTTGAGATAGTTAAACAAATAATCAAATATTTTACTTAAAGTACGTGCTAGATCGAAAGTAGCAATTTCATGGGACGGAGAGAGTAACAATTTTATCGTTTGCTAATGTTACCATATTTGCTTTTCCAGCAACTTATGGAACTAGGTGTGGAAAGACTAGTTTTGCCTGCTGTTTCGAGTGTGCTACACACTTGGACCAGATCATTTGGTTTCTCTTTGATGACTGAATCGGAGAAATTGAAATTTTTAGGCTGCACTTTTCTTGATTTCCAAGGCACTAGAATGTGCCACAAACTCTTGGTGATAGATCTTCCTTCCACAGAACCAAGCATGTCAAGAGGTATGTTTTTCACCACTTCTGTTGTACAATTCCGTTCGTTGAGAATGACCCCTTTTTACAGTTGGTCGTTGTATTGTTTATGCAGGAAATGGTTGTGGTACTATTGTAGATTTAGATAGAATTAGTGCTGTTTCTAAAGTGTCACAAGAAGAAAGAATCCAAGAGAGTGGAAAAGTTGAACAATCTTCCTCAGAGTATGTGTCCTAACTAAATTTTTTGTTTGTTTGATGATTTCATATTTGAACTAGGAATAAATGGTCTAGTCTGGGCGGTCTGACCCTCTTAACAAAACCAAACCGCAATGCAGTTTGACACAAAGTGACCAAACCGGTCAGGCCAGACCACAAAAATATGATCTGGTCTGCATGGTTTGGACTTATTATGGTCTTTAAACTATGAACTAAGGTCCCGTTTGGTTTGTGGGACTGGATTGGATTTGGAGGGATTTGAAATTAAATTCCATTCCAATCCCATGTTTTGTTTGAAAGATTTCCTGGATTTGAAATCCCACGGAGGTGGTTGGTATTTCACGGGATCTTTTAGGATTTTTATGTAATAATGTTTAAATTTATGTTAAAAACATTTGTTTTGTAATAATCAATTAATATACAGGTAATTTACTTATTATTATAATTTTTTTATAAAGAATGGAATTCAATTCCATTCCAAATCCTACAAACCAAACACATCAAAGATTCAAAATCCTACCACTTCCAAATCCCTCCAATTCCAAATTCTTCCACTGAAATCCAAACCCCTTAAAACCATTCCACCAAACCGAACGCCCCCTAATAGAATATATAGGAGAAATTCTAGAACACAATCGGAAGTAGTTTTGATAAACTTTGACAAGGGTCTTTCTTTTTCGTGTTTTTATTGGTGGAATGAGCTGCTGTTGTCAAGACTGTGTTTCTTTAATGCAACTCTTGAACCAATGAGATCCCTATGATTACAAGTGTTCTAAAGATTGATTTAAAGTTCCCTCCAAGAACTTTAAGCATAAAAAAGTTCTAAGCAGACGGATTTCAGAATGTCAAATTAGGGCCAAAAAAATCCCAAATATACAACAAACTAATGAAATAATAAACTCCAAAGAAGTCGAGGTTGATGCTGCTATTTCATGGTTTGAACTGGGATTTACTTCTATACTCTATTTCTTTGCTGTGGCTTCTTGTGTCTCAAGATGTATAATTGAAACTATTTTCAGATCAAAATGCTTGTTATATTATGCATTTAATCAGCCATTTCAGTTTACTAACCAAATTGGCATCTGTTCAGGCACAATGGCAAAACAAATCCTCTTGAAATCTTGGTAACCTTTTCTTCTATGTTCTCCCTAATTATGTTTGGCTACCCGTTTCAACGTTTGATTTACTCGTTGCAATTCTTGTTTTAGACGAGTCAACCAACTAACATAGAACATCGAAGTGAAACCAAATGCTCTACAGAAGCATCTAACCCCAGAGAAGGCAACAACAACAGCTTTCTCAAATGCTACCAGCGGAGAAAATTCATGCCCACGAGATTTGAGGTGCCTTTCCACAAGTAAATGTGTTAAAATATGTAAGTAGCAACTAATTCCCTTTTGATAACAATCCGAGTAGTGTAAGAACATATGCTAAGAGCTCAAGATTTGCCTTCATTTTCTCCCGTTTTTGGTTCAAAAAATTGGTAATGGATGGAAATGAAGGCATGTTTTATCTTCTATGTAAAACCCGTCTCACATGCATAGAAGATTAGATCTGTGTGTTTGCTCAAAATAATTGAACTTAATGTTCTAATTTTGATAGCTGCTTATAAGCTCAAAGTTGTTGGTTACCAATAACTTCCATCATGATTTTAAGTTGATTCTGAGGTGTTGGGTCAGCCTACTCCTTTAAGCCATGGGGAGTTACAAATAGTATCAAAGTTGATCCTTGTACCATCAAGATAGTGTGGCAAATCTTATAGAACATGATGAGTCCCTAAGAAAGAAGGAGGGGGGGGGGGGTGTTTGTAACATCTTCGGTGAATCCCACAGTTAGAAGATCAGATATATGAGCTGCTTATAAACTCAAAGTTTTAAGCTACACGAATTTAAGTTAATTTTGAGGTTATTGGGTCCATCTGTTCCTTTGAGCGTTCTTTGCTAAATTAATATTCAATCATGGAGTGTGCATTGATTTCTTGATGTTGAGATGAATAAGAGATAACACATAGTTGTTGGTGTGAGTCTTCTTTGGTGGCTGGCAATTGGTAAGGGCTGCTTTCTGCTTCTATCAAAGATTCAAGACTTAGAAGCTTTAGATTAGAACTTAATAAATAAGGAATACTTACTTTTTGGTCTTAATTCTTCAAGACAATTGCATGATTGATATCATCTTAGCAATCAAACTAAATGCATTTATGGATGCTAGTTGCATCAATGATCAACCCGAGTTTTAAAACGATTTGGACATCGATCGACCCGTTTGGTCCCCCTGGTTGATTGGCTAACTATACCCCAAACATATACCATCTTGGTTGATTGGCTAACTATACCCCAAACATATACCATCTGTGCTTGGTTAAGCATATACACATAGTGGGGCAGGGTCGTTTACCATCAAGTGTTTTTAGAATATGTGAACGAATTATTCATAACGAATATCGTGAATAATGAAAATAATGATACTTGTGATGACATTATTCATGAATATTTATATTTTTCATCGTGAATAACTCATGAAATAGTTGGTTATTAAGTTTTCATAATATTTTTCCCTTAGTTATCATTCTTATATAGAAAATTTTCTATATACCATACTTTGGAATTGGGATGCATCTTTCTTGAACAAGATGTTGGCATACCTTTTGTTAGAGTCTGTATCGGTTAGACACATATCATCAAAGCTTTATATATATATATATATATATATATATATAGGTGGAGGTTATAACAAGAACACCTCTATTTTATGCGAGAATACTTTTATCACATGTGATAATATGAAAGTTATAGTAAGGACTAAAAAAGAGATTTCATCTTCACACCTTTAATACCCCAAGTTAAGGATTATCCCACTAAATGCCTCTTTTTATCATAAAGGGTTTAAGTGGTGGCTCATTTTAGAGAGATATTTAAAAGATTACTGTACATTTTCAGATTACATCAGAGTCAAGGTCTATCTTACCGAAGGACTTAAACGGATATGAATACCCAAGTTAAGCATTGCCCCACGTAATACCCTTTTGTATTATAAAGGATTTTTGTGGTGATTCTACAAGGGCTTGGTGGTCCAATTTTATATTTGTCTTGTTGTCATTCATATGATGAATAGTACATAGAAGGCAACTTAGTCCCACAAAAAGCAAAATGGGACCATGAGATACATGTAGCTACCATAGGAGATAGAAAAAAAGGAAGAGAGTTTATGCAAACAAGGAAAGAATGGAACATATTTTTTCCTCTTGCAAGTTTCCCCCTTTTGCCATATTACAAGAAAGAAAGAAAATATTGATTCGGTTACGTCAGCTTTTTTTCTATTTTACGAGTTATAACTCAATCTCTTTCGTCACAAGATCCTATGAATCAAAGGATACGAAGATGTATGATACACTTCCCGTTCTTGAGATAACATAACATACAAAGTTTAAAGAAAGTGTTATGTTACGCACGAGTTTTAGATGATAAATCTTGTAGGATCTGTCTTATCTGACTCATATACTAAGGTTTTTTATGTTCTTGTTTTCTGGCATTTAAATTACTGTTATTATTATTATTATTATTATTATTACTGTCATTTTTGATATTGAAGTTGTTGAAAAGATGTAACTAGAATTTTCAAAGTTAGAGGTGCCTGTCGAACAAAAATTGAAGAAAGTGGTAGGGTCCCATGTCTTAAGCAAGTTGTATTGTAGGTCATACATCCCTTGAATCTTGATTAATTTTGCCTTGCTTCTATCTCTTTCACATGTTTTGAATATTCATAAAATTATTGAACCATGTCTTCCCCAATTGTTTCTCCTTGTCCGATTATTGTTTACAAAAAAAAATATTTATAATTATTATATATGTATTCAGGTGTAAAAAATTAAATATTTGTAATCATTTATATTTGATGTTATTATCAACTTATCTTATTACAGAGACTAAAAGTGTTACTACAAATTTGGTCCTTATGGTTTGTCGAAAGTAACACTTTTAGTCTCTGTAGTTTTGAAATTACAAGATGAACATCATAATTTGCAAAAACATCTGTTTTAGGTGTCTTTCTCTAATGACTGTTAAAATATTTCGTTAAATTAGAGGCATTTTTGTTCTTTTATCGATTTTTTTCTCTTTTACCTAAGGATAGTGATTTGCTCCGGCTCACCCGACCCGAACGGGAACAAGGATTCTCTGCTAAAACAGGTCCTGGGGCCGGGGAATGGGATCCCCGGTAGACTCAAACTAGGGTTGGGGTCGAGGTACAATAATACCCCCCGACCCGTCCCGTACCGAGTGTTGCAATCTGATCGTTCACTTCTTATCATGTACGCCAACAACCTCCATGAATAACGAAACATTCAACCATGGATGCATCGTCTGCATTATTCAGAATTTCGTATCTCAATCATCTTTCCCTCCATCGTCAATCACACCCACAGATCTAATTCCTTCTCCATTAAACACTTTCATTACAATCCATTCAAAGTGGAGAGCAACAGAAACGAAGTTGGTTTTGACGAATCGACTTATGAGGCTGAGAGGCTTCGTCTCGATGCTAAAGCAAGAGAATCCATGGCGGATGAGTTAGACAGAAACGATAACGATCCAAAAGCCTGGAAATGTATCATCCGGAAGAGGATTTGGGATTTGATGGAGACTTGAAACATTGCTCAGTTTCCACGATCTGTTCATCGCTGGATCCCTAATTTCGTTTCTGCTTCCATTGTTGCTAATAAAGTAAGAAGGTTGAATCCTCCTCATATCACCTGAAATACATTTGAAATTGATGTATGTTAACATAATAAATATATAAAATAGAAAAATAATGATATAAAGTAAATTAAATAACTAATTATAAGAGCGTAAAATTTAAAAAAAATTAACCAACTAGAAACTTTACGCATATTAAAGATTTTCTGCATAAAATCTCTTTCTGTTGTCCTGAAAATAAACTTTAAACAAAAAATCCTTTTTATACGTCAGGTTTTTTTTATTATAAACTTTTGCTATTTAAAAAAAAAAATAGTTTCTAAAATAATTACAAAATAAAATCAGTTTAATTAATTTAATATTTATGTAAAGTCATGCAAATAATAGGAACTCAAATCCCACTTGCCTTTACTTAAAAAAATCTATTTGGCCTTTACCTAAAGGATAAAGAGCTACACTTCATTGGTAGAAAAATTTCTTTAAATATTTTTCACACTTTTTTATATAAATCGCGGATGTCGGTTATGTGATTCGTTTGACGGTACCTATGGTTTGCAAGTTCTTATGGGCATGCTCGTTAATACAAATTTTCTCCATGAATGGTCGTTAAATGTGTTTACGTACTATTCATCTGGATGGTCTTTTGGTCGTTTTACTTTTTCTTCTATAATTTTTTGACGTACAAGTATCTACAACATTTTTCTGGTTTTAAGATATCGTTTGATTTAGGTTTCTTATTTAGATTTTGATATGTTTTTTATTTTTCTGGTTGAGATGTTTTGTTAGAGAAGATGACTGAAGGGGGTTAAGCGGAAGAAAAAGTGGAATGGGTTGGTTTGGTGTGCATGATTAGGTTGTACATTTGCTTAAAGCATATGTACATTGAAATTTTATATAAAAAATAAAAAACATAAAGCAATCTAATAATATATTTTCCAATTTTAATTGAAAACTAAAGAAATACTAAAAAGACGAAAAAAAAAACCTTCTGAGTTAACGGATCTATTTAACAAAAGTTAGTCTGAGGGACAAAAATTGAAACAAACTGGCAACCACAATGACCAAAATTATAATTAGTTTGAAAGAGGGACAGTAGTTGCTAATAAGTGACAACCACATGGACCAAGAGTATAATTTACTCTAATTCTAATGACATCAAATAATTCATAAAACATCATAATTAATGAAAAGAACTACTATAAAACTTTTCTTCCATACCGATCTTGGATCTTCTTAAAAATTAGCAGTTCTTATTTTTTCTTCCGGTCTGTAGCTCAATTGGTAGATGGATAAGATTACTTTTGTCTAAATACAAAAGAGGTCATAAGTTCAATCATAGGCTCTCCATTAGTCTCAGCTGTTGAATAAGACAAAAAAAAACACCCCTTCATGCTGGTGTCCTTGAAAAAACCTGTGAGACCAATCGGATGAAGTGAACAGTAATCAAATTTTTGCTCAGATGGTTTTTATTTGATTTTTACCAAAGAAATCTTATATTAGTTACCGGATGGATCTTTAAATCATTAAAACATATTAACTCAGTAATTTTTATTTTATTCAAACATAAATTTCATATATTATATTATTGATTTACAGTAAAATATTACATCCCGTTTTATAACAGAATTACGTTAATTAGATAAAAAGTTGTTATAAAAGAACTTAGTGTTAAAATAAATGTGACATCATTTAAATATATATTTATAGGATTTGAGCCCAAAAGTGTTTATATATCAACATGAGAGACGTGAAGGTATATTATGCTACACTTCACATGCACACAATACAACAAGATTCATCCCTACCTCCCTCCCTCCCTCCAAATCCACCAAAATTCCTTCCTGTTTCTACCTTCCTCCCTCCAAAAACCTTCCCTTCTCCAATGGCGTTTTCCTCCATCTTCAACCCTTCTCTATCTCTATCTCTATCTCTTCTCGTATCTCTATTCTTCTTCAATTTTCTTCTATTAGCTTCGTCGGTCGAATTAGTTCTTCCAATTGACAACAATGGCGCCCACACCCACACCATCCATCAATCCAATCAATCCGAATGTGCACTGTTTATGGGTTCATGGGTTCACGACGACTCTTACCCCATCTATCAAGCCTCTTCTTGTCCCCTTATCGACGCTGAGTTCAATTGCCAAATGTATGGCCGACCAGATTCCGATTATCTCAAATATCGATGGAAACCTGCAAACTGTGAACTTCCCAGGTCACTTTCAGTTTCGATTATTCAATTACGAAGAAATTTAGTTTAACGAGTCGTAGTTAATTAATTGTTTGTGGGCTATTAATTAAGCAGATTTAACGGATTGGAGTTTCTGACGAAGATGAGAGGGAAAAAAGTGATGTTCGTCGGAGATTCATTGGGAAGAAACCAGTGGGAGTCGTTGATTTGTATGACATGGTCGGCGGTGCCAACGGCGGCGACCAAGATGAATAGAGGCGATCCTCTCTCTACATTTAAGTTTTTGGTACAAATCTTTAAACTCATGTATTTGAATTCAATTGGGGTGGTTACTTTTGGTTGACAATTAGGGGAAGTTTGGTTGGTTGGTTTTCATTAAATCATGTATGGGTAAAGTTGTATCGATTAATCAATCTGTATAGATCTGAAATTTTTTTGTTTGGGAGGGTTGCTTCGTAGATGTAAATTTGGAAAAAAAAAATTGGTTTTCTGTATAAAATTCCATTTATAAGCTTATTGAATAAGTTACTACCAAACAGTTATAAATAGTTGACTGTATAACATGTGAGTCTCATTAAGATCATTAAACTGCTGACAAATAGGATTTTAATGTGTTTTGGTTTGTTTTGAAAAGGATTATGGGGTGGACATTTCGTTTTATCGAGCACCATATTTGGTGGATATTGAATCGGTCGAAGGTCGACGGATACTGAAATTGGAGGATATTTCGAAGAATGCACGGGCGTGGATGACCGCTGATGTTCTATCATTCAACACTGGTCATTGGTGGACTCATAAAGGCTCCCTTCAAGGGTCAGTAATTTTAATTAGCTCATGGTTAACGATCATAAATTGGTTTATATTTTATAAAGTGACTTATAAGCTACTTTATGAAGAAAAAAAGCCATCGTTTTATGGGTCATTTATTAAACACTTACCTTATCGGATGAGTATAATAAGGACTAAGAAACTCACATGATAAAACAAGATAAGGATCGAGAGTCGGATAATATCCGATAAGCTTTTATCGTCGAGAATGTTACCCGACAAAATTAATAAAGTTGATGACTCTTATCATTAAACGTTTGGTAAACGACGCCTTAATATTAATAAAGATTTATATATTTTAAAACAATAAATTTTTTTAATATTTGATGAAAAATAAAAATAAAAGTGAATTGTGGGTGTTAATTTGGTGGTGATGGTGCAGGTGGGACTTGGTTGAATCGGGCGGGTCAGTTTCTAAGGATATGGATCGACTGGCAGCACTGTACATGGGCCTGAAAACATGGGCCCAATGGGTTGATTCTAATGTTGATACCACTACCACCAGAATCTTTTTCCAGTCCGTTTCTCCAACTCACTACAAGTAAGTCATTCCAATCATTAACCTTTATTTAGGAACCACTTTTTTAATAAGTATTTATCAATACTATATTATAAAGTATTTAACAAATACTCTTAAAAAAAATTATACATGAAGTGTTGTTTATTAATACATATTATATAAAATTTAAGATTACAAGTAAATTATGTGTAAGTACAATTTATTAAAACTTCATTTTTTAATTCGTATAACTAACTGTAGATAAACATAATCAAATACATGATAAACATATTGTTTTAAATATAAAAAATCTAAAATATTTTAGAATTATCATTGAGTTTTAATAGAATCATTATCTTTGTAAAATTATATTGTTAAGCCAAAAATAAATTGCTTCGTTATTAGATATTAATATCGATATATTTTTTTAAAAATTTTATGATATCATCAAATTTATTTTTATTCAAAAGTAAGAACATTATTTTTCTCAAAACCATATAAACCGAATTATAAAAACAAATACAAAAAGTAAAACAAAATATTAATATGAATATGTATTTCGCTGCATTGCACGAATACTCTTATATGATAAATAATATGATAAAAATATGCATAATAAATGTTATGATAGATATTCATAATTTATGAATATTCATAAAATAAGGGATATTTTAGTTGTAAAATATTTAAGTTTCTTAAATAAACATGCCTTTTAAGACTTTTTACTTAGAGCATGTTTGTTAGCAGCTTAAGGAGAGCCACAACTTATTTGGTCAGTTATAGATAACTGTTTGACAGTGGCCTAATCCTCAGCTATGCCACATTTTTCCCTCGTAACTATGGGTTTTTTAATCTAGCTTATGTGCACCAACTAATCCCCGAACGACCATAAATGGTCTGGAGTAATCGTAGATGAACCTCCATAGCCATAAGGGCTTTAGTAGCGTCTGAATTCAAACCCGAGGTAGATAAGATTTTCCATTACATCCCCTTAAACATAACCAATACGTCACAAGCCGAGTGGTTAGAACCACATTTTTTACGAGTATCTATAATAAATAATATGAAAAAAAAAGTTATTAAATTATTTAAAGCGTATTACTTAAAGTATGTGGATTAAATTATAGCATTGAAAATATAATATTAAATTAAAATGTATTATTATTTTAATAAAGCGATGAAAAAGTAAAGGAAAATAAAAGACGAGAAAGGGATGGGATCCATAGGGTGATGAATGGGTCCATCAAACATAAAGTGTGTAATCAATAATTAGCTGTCCACTATTATTGCTTCTAAACCCTACCCCCTAACCCCTATGTAGTATAACTTATGATATGTTTTAATGCATATGCATATATACAATTTATTGTTGTCTGTTTATGTTTTCCTAGTTTTATTAAGAGACAACTTTTGAATTGTTAAGAATTAATTTTGTTTGATAAAAAAAACATGTCTCTTAATGGTTCTAAAACCTTCTGAATAATTTTGTATCTTGCGTCTCCCGTAACGATTCAACACCCTAATTTCATTTTGAATAGTTATCAAACAATTATATTTCATTATGCACTATATTATAAGAGTCTTTTAATCATTTTGACCACTTAATCATTATGTACCATTTATGGGTAAAATATCCCACATGGGAAAATAATAATATCCAAATTGAGTGGTTGATGTTTTTTCCACTCTGTCATCTTTTTTGTGTTTGTCTTTTTCATTAAAGTAGCCAATGATTTTCTTTGATTTGTTGTTCCATACTAACTATGTTTCCCTTCGTCTATGGTTACCTTTTTATAGCACATCGGAATGGTCAGCTGGTGCCATTAGCACTGGGAAGACCTGCTATGGGGAGACAACTCCGATGAGCGGGTCCGGCTACCCTGGGGTCTACCCGGATCAAATGAAGGTCATTGACACCGTAATCCGAGAAATGCAAAATCCTGCATACATACTTGACATAACGACCCTATCGGCAATGAGAAAAGACGCACATCCGTCGATCTATAGTGGAGACTTGAGCCCGGGTCAACGAGCTAACCCTGACCACTCTGCTGATTGTAGCCATTGGTGTCTTCCTGGTTTGCCTGATACATGGAACCAACTGTTCTATACTGCTTTGTTCTTTTAACATTATGTATTTATGATTTATATGTATAGGAAGTTTAATGAGATTTTCATAGTCAATAGTTCATAATTAATTAAGGTTATGTTTTAGGATTTTACAATAACTGTATCCACCTCCAATCAAATGTAATTTGTGTGCAATAATTTAAAAATGTAATGGTTTTTTTTCCAATTGCAGCTGCATCATGTCGTTGGGTCTCTTATGTATCCATATAGATACACATGAATTTGATGAGAGAGCGAGACTGGGGTCGTTTATTATAGATTTAGTATTTAAATGCACCTGTATTCCTTCTCAAGTATGATATGTCATTGGTTTTCAAGTCTCGTCGTCCCTATTGTGGGCCTAAGCCATATTTATTACAATTTATTGAGTTTGGGTTGGTTGGTTGGTCTTACTATCTATGGGTTTAATTTTAGTTATAGAAAACTTGAGTTATAGGTTTGATCATGCTCGGTATAGTCTAAGTCGATCGGTTCATGCTATTTTTGTATGTTTCGTATTTAATAAAGATAAAAAAAAGATGTCATCATGTCATTAAAGGGATCTATGAAATTTAAATCATATAGACCACCTTAAAGAAATTGATTACTAACAACTAAAACCAGTCTCATATGGCATCTGTCAACGTGAAGGACATTTTTTTACTCACTCAGCGGCTGATGGTAGCCCCTGAGAGGATTGAACTCGGGACTTATCTTGTATTTGAACAAAATAGACCCACCCCTTTGCCATTGAGCTGTACGCTAGATGCTATATTACATGATATTAACTTGAACAATCAGGGGACCTGCCTTCGCCACTAATATCATCATTGGGTTAAATGCATGAAATAACAATCTACTTTCATAAATTTTCTTATTATAACATTCTACTTTTGTTTTTCTTTATTACAACAATGTACTTTCAAATTATTTTTTATTAAAACATTGTACTTTAAAAAATCTATCCATAATAGCAATGGGTAACCTGTTACCTTTTAAACCGGTTAACTCTTTGACTTTTTTGCTTGTATGGCTTTAATGAGGTGATGTGGATGACACATCATTTTGATGACTTAATTAAAATTAAAATAAAAACTTATTTTAAATTATTATTAGTGATTTTTATTTTTCATTACTATGATCTAAAAAAACATTTAATTTTTTTTACTTTTTCTTATTAAGTTGCATTCAAATTAAATATTCTTAGAGTAAAATATTTATTAAATAAATATGAAACATTATTTTTAAGATATATTTTGTTTGTAAAAAAAGTAATTTTTCATATTTTATGTTGTTCAAATAAAAACATATCTTTTAAAGTCTTCTTTAAAATATTAACGAAATAAATTGTTATCTACAATTTTTTAATATTGTTATATTAATAAATAATTCAAAAAAATATAATTAATTTAATATATTTATACATCAAGTAAAAAGTTTTTGAACAAATATAATATATTCTTTWAAAGATAATATTTTTTGGTAAAAAAAGAACAATTCTTATTTTTCTTTTTTCAAAAAACACATATTTAAAAAAAATATTAGCGAGATAAGTTGTGTTGTACTAGTTTTATTGATATTGGTATATTAATGAATAATTTAGAATTTTTTTAATTTATTTAATACGTTTATTAAATAACTTGTAAAATATCTAAATATTAAAATTAAAAATATATTGTTTAACAAGAACTGGTAGATGCTATAATAAAATAATTTTGAAAGTACAATGATGTAGTAAGAAAGTCACATCACTATAGTACATGTGGACAGCCTATGTGGACAATGAGGTGACATGGAAACCTAGTATAATAGGTAAATTTAAATCAAAAGATTATCCAATGCTATAATGGGTAAATTTTTCAAAGTACAATGTCTTAATAAAAAATAGTTTGAAAGTACATTGTTGTAATAAGAAAAACTGAATATAATAAAGAAATTTAAAAAAGTAGATTGTTATTTTATGCATTTTACCCTATCATCATTAGTTGTTGTTATACGTTTGATGGACTTGCTTAACATGCATCCATTGCTTCTTTTATTTCGATAAACATGGAATTACATAAACTCGAAGTAATATCATGAAAAGGTGCATCTTATTAGTCCTCTCGTTACTTTTATTTGTGATACCAGTTTTATTACTAGCATTGACCCTATTGTTCTAAGTTAACATGTATATAGAGCAATCACTAAAAATACTTTGTTATGCTTATCACGAGTTCGAAATATTAAAACTGAGGGTTAGCAAACACTTATCAGGTAAAATCACTTACCAGCAAAGAGGCAACACCCCCAATTACCTTATTGGGTAATATTATCGACTATCAAAATGGATTGTTGGTGAACATCTTTTACCATTGCTTACCGAGTAATATTATTCTTTCTCACTTACCGAGTAATATTCTTGGTCTTTGTTTTGTTTCTTACCGAGTAAGATTATCGGTTATTATCGGTTTTTATTATGTTCATCCAATAAAATAAATGACAACTGTTAAGACTTGAAAATCCCCTCAAGTAAAAAACAACGAAGATAAGAATGTTTGAGAATAAATAACTAAGCCCAAAATGTATGGGCGTATTGGGTCATGTAATGGGCTTTAAGCCCAAGAAATTATGAAAACTATAAATAAAGTTTATTTGGATATGGGTTTTCAGGAATTATGAAAACGATATATAAATAACTAAGCCCAAAAAGTATGTTATTTATACAGAAAAAATATGAATTATAATCGATTTTGTTAATACTAGAAGGGTACTCGCATAATGCAACGAGATATATCTCGATTTTAATGTTTCATTTTTTTTTTGTCTCTGTTGATATTATAATACGCATTTATGTGGTTTTGAGCAAACAACAATGTTTTTTTTTTTATAAAATATAAATTTGAAAATATCATAAAGCAATTGATGTTATGCCTTTGAATATCGTTTTTTTAGTGAGTGATAAGTAGTTATACACGCTAACATTGGATGTCACTGATATCGATTAGGAGGATCTTTGTGTTATATTAGCTTACCAACATTGGTTTTCAGTATCCAATATAAGAGTCATAACAACATTATAACAAGAGTCATAATCCATCATTTTCTGTTTTTCTTTTTTCATTTGAAAACTTTTGATATTGATTCAATTGTAAATGAGTAAAGAAAAAACCTTCTATATAAAAAGAGTTATTAAACATGTTTTCTTGTTTTTTCCCCCCAAAGTATATAATATTTATATACGGCAAAATGTAACAAATAAACTTACATACTCTCCTCATCTTTGGTGAGGTTTGAACTCATGACCTTCTACAAGGCCAAAAACTACGATACAACTATACCAAAAGCCCTTTGATAACATAAACACTTAAACGTAAGTTGAACTTAAACCATCAATTCTTTCTCCATAACCAAGAGATTCTTATAGGTTTGGGTTTTAAAATTAAATATTACCTATGAAAAGTTAAAAATGGACTACTTAGTATTGAATAGAAGTAGGTCAATCCATCCACATAATGATCATTAACATCGAATTCACTTAAAAGACACAATCGTTATACTTGAAAAAGTCCTAAAAAATACACTTATGGGTCGTTTACCCAAATGCTTACCCGGTAAGCGTTTATCGATAAGATTCAACATTATAATTTATTTTGATACGTAAGATTTTAGTACATCAAAAAATATTAAATGCAACAAGTTAATAGGTAAGTGCTTACATGGGTAAGAGTAGTTACCCTTACTTAGGGGATAAGACTCTTCATCCTTTTCATTGCTCTTACCCGGTAAGATTTTTGGTTCTTCTCATGTTCATCTGATAAAGAAATTTTTTTGTATGATAAGCACTTATCAAGTAAATGTTTAGTAAACTGGCCCTTACACTTGCAAAACATGATCATTTTTGCGCAAAATTTGCAGGGGACAACAAGTTTTGTGAAAGCTAAAATATATTATAATGGATTAAAATGTTCATATTTTGCAAATTTGTATGTTGGTTTGTTGAACTTTTCCGATTATTAATTAAAAGGTAAACATGATTAAGATTTGGTAAAAGCAATATTAAAGTTGACTTAACGACAAAAATGGAAGATTGATTTAATCACTTTGTAATAAGAACCTGATTAGGGAGTGGGAAAGTAAAAACTTATTTTTTAAAGTTGACATCTATTTCATAACAAAGTAAAAAAGAAATGTAAGCAACAAGGGTGGTGCGGTGCCTGGTTGGTTTGAGCTTGACTCCAAATGTCAAAAGTACCTGGAGGTCCCAAGTTCAAATCCAAAGAGTAATAAAAATCCCCTTGTGGTCACGGAGGTTCAAATGCGGTGACTCCAGGCTATCTGCAAAGCAGGTGGTCATCCTGGGATTAGTCGGCTCGCATAGCGGGTTGGATATCCAGGTTAATCAAAAAAAATGTAAACACCTATTTTGGGACAGATGGAGTATTGAATAACCAAAGACGAGCATATCATGAATATGCATATGAATAATTGACTTCCATTAGTATTGAGTCATGCATTTCCCATGTTAAACGATTCCTCGTCCGATATGAGTTATTGTACTACAATGTTTTGAAATATACTAAGTTGTGTCAATATAGAATAAATGGTGGATGGAATATAAGCTTAGTTTGTTTGCTCACTAGTAGATATTGTTAGTTGATACTATTAGATAACATGATCCCTTTATAAAGGATTGGATAACTTACTACAACAAAATCAGGTTTATAGAACACTCTCAAATTCTAAGTATCCTAATATACTTCTTTATATGACTTAGTTTATAGGACCAAAAAAATAAAGTATCCTATCTAAAAGTGTTGCAATAAGTTTATATGACGTTTTTGGGCGTCTTAACAAGTTTTTTAGGTCATTTTCAATACAAAGTGTCACATTAGCAACTTTATAGGATACTTTTGAGAAAATGTTCCATAAACTCATTTTTTTATAGGACACTTGTTTTTATATGACAATTTTTCAAATGGTGTCTTATAAAGTTGATAATTTGACACTTTATATTAAAAGTGTCCTAAAAAACTTATTACGACGTCAAAAAACGTCATATAAACTTATTGCAACAGCTTTAGATATGACACTTTATTTTTTTGGTCCTATAAACTAAGTCTCATAAAGAGGTTTATTATGACACTTAGAATTTGAGAGGGTCCTATAAACACGATTTTGTTGTAGTGACTCATTTACAAATAGT